AGAGTCTGGAGGAGCGGGCTGGATGGTCTCAGAGGAGAAGTGGAGGAATCACTGGGAGAGATGAGGGAGAGACTGGAGGAATAAGAGAGGTGGGAAGAGAAGGAGAGAGTGATGGGATAGGGGGTGGGCAGGGGGAGAAAGAGGGGGAGAGACCAGGACGAGGAGGGCAGAGACACGGAGAGGCAGAGGGGTGGGAGAGAAGGAGAGAGGGGAGGAGAGGAGAGGGCAAGAGGCAGAGATGGGAGGAAAAGAGGAAGACAGGGTGGACAAGAGCAGAGTACTAGGAATCGGGGGAAGAATACAGAAACCCCAAACTAAGAGCAGAAACAAGAATAGGGGAACCCCCGCCAAGGTGGAAAAAGTCCTCGCTCCTAGCCCCCAGGGTCTCCTGCCCACCCAGGCGGAAGACGAGAGGAAGGGATGGAGGCGCAGTGGCCTTTCTGGTCCGTCTCCAGCGGGTTTTGGCGGTGCCTTTTCGGAGACGAAGGCGCGCGTGGAGCAGGGGGGCGCCACCTCCCGGGGGAAGCAGCCCCTCCTGCGACCACGGTCAATGTCATCCTGTCCCTTCGCTGCCCCGCCGGCGCGTCTGGGCCCACGTCCCTATTATGACTTTCCCACATTGTCCACCTTCACCCTTGCCCGCGTTTGCCTGCACCCCCTTTCCAATGGCCGGACCGGGACCGTCCTGCTTCCCGCCCCCCAACCGCGCACCCGGCCTGGACGGTCCCGCCCGAGGCAAAATCAAACAGTCCCGTGGGCACTTGGGGGAGCACTCGGTGCTCAGACGGCACACTCTGGGCCTAAAGAGGGGACCCCTCCCCGGCCCCCCGCGGACTCTGCGCGCAGCAGATTGCCGGGGGCCCTTGAACCTCGAGGGGAGGGACGCACTCGAGCGCCGCCGCTCCTCGCCCGGCGGACGGCACGGCCTCGCAGGCTCTGCCTTGTTCGCTTTCTTTCAGACTCTCTCCTTTTGTGTGGAATTATTTAAACAGGAGATCCCGGGCAGCTTTATGCTAATGTGCCGAACAAAGGCGCGGCCCGCGGGCGGGCGGGGGCTCGGGAGGTGCCGGGCGGCCGGAGTGGCCAGCGAGCGGGGCGCGGGCGGCGGGCGGGCTGCGCGTGTCTCTCGCGTGCCCTCGGGGCGGACACACAGCCCCTCATTCCTGCAAACACAAAGCTCTCCCGGCTCAGGCCTCCGGGCCCGGGCCCTCAGGGACTGCCGGCGGGTTCCCAGGCGGTAACGGGTCCAGGCTGGGATCCAGGCTCCGGATCCAGGAGGGCCTGGGGTGGGGCTCCTGTAAATAGGAGGGCGCTCAGCCCGGAGGGAGGGTTGGGGTGTGGGAGGTGGTGTGTGTGTGTGTGTGTGGGGGGGGATCTGACAACTCTCTGTCGCTCCTCCCTGGCATCTCCAACTCTGCGGGCGCCTCGGGATGAGACTGTGGACCTTCTGGTCTCTGCCTTTCTGGGCTCAGGGGTTGTTTGGGCTGGCGGACACCCCAAGAGGCAATTTCTAGGCCGATATGCCCCCCTTTAGTGCTCATGTCCATACTCCAGGCTTTCTAGAAACTCCCTGGGGCTAGGTCACAGTGACCCCCCCCCCCCGCGCCGACGGCGCCTTGGGGACCGAGGCGGGACGATTTGGGGCGCCAGCGGCCCGAGCCCCGCAGGCCAAGCAAGGAGCCACCGGCGGGGCCGCACGGACAGGAAGCGATGGAGGCCGCCGGGTCCAAAGCACTCGCCAGGACCCCACAGGAAAGGGAGAGTCCCCTGGGACTGGGGGAGGACATCTTGACGGCCCTCCTGGGTTCCTCATGCCTGTGGGCTTCAGGGAAGCTCCCCTGAAGGGTGGGTTGGGGCGCAAATCAGTGCTCAGCGCTCCCCAGCTCAGTTCCTCCTGGCGGGTGCTCGGACGCCGTGCGCTAGGGCAGCGGGCCGCTGCGCTGTTCCCAGGGGGGGGGGGGAGGGGGACAAATAGCTCCGGGTCCCCATCCCCGGTTCCCCATCCCCGCAGGCGCACGGGTTCCGAGAAATAAAGTCACGGAGAAAACAGCGGGGACCCACGACTGGGTGCAAGAGTGCCCGTTCTCAGAAGCTGCTGGTGAAGTGCCCCCAGCCTGATTCTCCCCCCCCCCCCCCCCCCGCCGCTCTGGGTGGTATTTAATACTTGTACCTTTCAAGTGCCCATTTATTTTGACCGTGCCCATCTGAAAGCATATTTCACTTCCACTGGCAAGACTAGAAACCACAAGTGAAAAAAATAAAAGGAACGGGTCCATTGAATCTCAGTGTCTAGTTTTCAAAAGATTCTCTTGGCTTAATTCAGAGCCTTGTTTGAATTCCTTGCATTTAGGCAGGCGTTTTGTTTTGCGGGAGTCCCCCCTTCATCCCCCCTCCCCCAACTCTTTACAATGATGGGTGTTATTTTAGAGGATTCTCCAGGTGACAAACTCACCCCGTTATCTGTTGAATGAAAGGAGTGTTGCACATGCAAGACCAGATCTCCCCCCCTCCTCCTCCTGCAGTCAGTCAGGGATGGCCGACCCAGCCCCCGCCCTATTATTCCACAATCCAGATGGGATCCGTGATTAGAAAATAAAATTGGCCAAAGCTGTCCCGGAATCCCTTTCCCACTTCTGTTCACTGGCAGCATTCATCAGCGCTCACAACAGCAAGGAAATAACATCAGTTGCTTTGAGATGGAAACACACGTATACATTTTAGATCAACTTATTTTAGGATTCCTAACTTCTTTCCAGAACTAGCAATCATCTCACTTAACATTTAAAAACAAACAAACAAACAAAACAAGAGCGGGAGCTTTTGAAATAATTCCATTATAGGTATCCTTCTCTTTTAAGTCTGTGAGTTAGGAAAAATAATCACAAAGAAAATCATCAAATACCTTTTCCCTTGGTTAATCCTAACAACTGTCCTTTTACAATTTACTGCTCGTGTTTTAAAATTCTATCAAATTTCCAAGCCAGGGTATTTTCCGAGGGAAAATCCGAAAAACAATTAAATACCTTCCGTGGAATTAAGCATAAGCAAAACAGTAAAATCTGCCTGGATGCACAGGTTTTTGCAGGGAAATGTCCTTTTCTTTCAATCGAGTGGCATTTTCCTCACAGCGTACCACATTTGACTCACTAGTCTGTGGCTTTGCTACTTGTTCCCAACGAAACCGGGGATCAGGGCTACCCCTAGTCTTGGGGTTCTGCCCCCACCCCCACCCCCGGAGAGGCCGCCTTTGTGCTTCCTCTGCGAGAGGCTGAGAAGAGGATGGAAGCGAAGGGCCAAGACTGGGTCCATATGATCTTCGCTGTTGTCTTTTCCCGGTGGCGCAGGGAGCGGGGGCGCAGCTTGTCCTCCCGAGGCCGAGGCCCGCCTCGGAGGACAGATTGCCCCCCTCCCTCTCGGCCAGCAGCACGCGCCGCTTTTGCGTCCAGATTGGCCGCGACCGCCGCTCAATAGCTGGAGGTTAATTTCCTTCACAAAGGTGAAGGGGCATGGCTTGGGGGGTGGGGAAGGGGGGCCTGCGTGGAGACAGGCGGCCCCTTTATTCGCAGAGCCTTGATTGGAGCCCTTGATTTAGCATCTGATGTCAACCGGCAGACAAAATGCCCGCTCCGAATGAAAATGCATGAGGCGGCCCGAGGAGAGCGGACACCAACTTCGCCGGGGCGCGCGCGGCTGACCTCGAGTTCGGACCTTGGCCCGTACTACCCGAAACCACCCAGCCCTGGGCGGCGTGGGGGCTCCGAGCGGGCTACTCCGGGCCCCTCCGAGGATGCCCATCCCCAAACTTCCCGCAACTAAAAAAAAAAAAAAAAAAAAAAAAAAAAAAAAAAAAAAAAAAAAAAAAAGTTCAGAAATTCAAGTTCTTTTTGGAACCCATCCCAGTCCGCCCCCCTCACCCTCTAGCGCTGCATCTGCTGGCAACGGAAGAAGCGCCTTCTGTACCAACTGCTGCTTCTCAAACTCGAGAGAGACCTTACCAAGGACCAGGGCCGCGGGTCCTGGTTGCGGACGGAAGCAAACATTACCCTCCGCTGCAGCCAAGGGCCACACCATCCACCTAAACGTGGAACCCCGTTTTCGCTCGGACCCAGGGTCTCCCGGCCCACCCGAAGTCCGAAGCGCGGGTGGGGACTCCAGGCAGCCCGGGCTTTGCAGCTATTTCCAATTCTTGATTCTCTTCTAGACACCCCGAGGAGTTCCCGAGCCTACCCCGACCCCACCCCACCCCTCTCGCCCCAGCAGCCGCACTCCGATCGTCCTGTCGCCTGCTGCGGCCCACCGCCGCCCCTACCCACTCCGCCCGCCCAACTTCCCCTCTGCTCCGCTCCGGCTCGCGGACCGAATCCTCCTGACATATTTGGGGCCATTCTCCTCCTTTGTTGCTATTTTGCTCGCGACCCGCGGGTAATCCCCGCACGGGAGGGGGGCGCGCATTGTCGCGCTGACGGACGGGTCCATTTGGCGGCTCGGCGCCCCGGAGGAGACACACAAAGCCTCGGCACGTGCGCCTCGCATAGAGGAGCAGCGGACCGTGCAGCGAGGCGGGGCCGGGCGTGTGCCGGGCCTGGCGGGCGGGGCGGCGGCGCCGGGCGGGGCGGCGACGGGGCGCACGCGGGGGGCCCCTCGCCCTCAGGTACATCTGCCGCACCTACCGGGCGACCCCGGCGTCCCGACTCCCTTTTGGCTGCCCCGCCGCCCTCCCACCCCACCCGGCGGCGGAGCTGCCGGCGCGCTGATTGGCTCCGGGGGAAGCGGGAGGCGAGAACAATGGCCCCCTCCCCCCGTTAAAAGGGAGCGGCTCCGGGGCCCGGGCACTGGGGCGCGCACGCAGGGCGCAGAGCCGGGCTGAGCCGCCGCCGCCGGCGCCACGCGAGTCCCGCAGCCGCCGCCGCGCTCGGGGCATGGGCCGGGGCCACTGAGGCCGCCACGGCCGAGCGCGGAGGCGGGACCCGGCCGGCGCCTGGCCCTCGCGCCGCGCCACCATGCCGCGCGGCTTCCTGGTGAAGCGCAGCAAGAAGTCCACCCCCGTGTCCTATCGAGTGCGCGGCTGCGAGGACGGCGACCGCGCGCTCCTGCTGTCGCCGGGATGCGGGGGCGCCCGCCCCGAGCCCCCCGCGCCGAGCCCGGGGCCCGGGCCGCTGCCCCGGCCGCCGCCGCCGCCCGCCGAGCGCGCCCAGGCGGCCCTCGCCGCCGCGCTCGTCTGCGCGCCGCGCCCGCTGCCGCCCCAGCCGGGCCCGCGGGCCGCGCACTTCGGCAACCCCGAGGCCGCGCACCCCGCGCCGCTCTACAGCCCCACGCGGCCCGTGAGCCGCGAGCACGAGAAGCACAAGTACTTCGAGCGCAGCTTCAACCTGGGCTCCCCGGTGTCGGCCGAGTCCTTCCCCACGCCCGCCGCGCTGCTCGGAGGGGGCGGCGGCGGCGCGGGCGGCGGTGGCGGCACCTGCAGCGGCGACCCGCTCTTCTTCGCGCCCGCCGAGCTCAAGATGGGCACGGCGTTCCCGGCGGGGGGTGCCGAGGCGACCCGCGGCCCGGCGCCGGGGCCCCCGCTGGCCCCGGCCGCCGCCTCCCTGAGGCCCCCTGGCAAGCGGCCCCCGCCCCCAGCCGCCGCCGAGCCTCCCGCCAAAGCAGTCAAGGCTCCGGGCGCCAAGAAGCCCAAAGCCATCCGCAAGCTGCAGTTCGAGGACGAGGTGACCACGTCGCCGGTGCTGGGGCTGAAGATCAAGGAGGGCCCGGTGGAGGCGCCGCGGGGCCGCGCGGGGGACGCGGCGCGGCCACTGGGCGAGTTCATCTGCCAGCTCTGCAAGGAGGAGTACGCCGACCCGTTCGCGCTGGCGCAGCACAAGTGCTCGCGCATCGTGCGCGTGGAGTACCGCTGCCCCGAGTGCGCCAAGGTCTTCAGCTGCCCGGCCAACCTGGCCTCGCACCGCCGCTGGCACAAGCCGCGCCCGCCACCCGCTGCCGCCGCCGCCTCCCGGGCGTCCGAGCCCGAAGCCGCCGCCAGGGCTGAGGCTCGGGAAGCCACGGGCGGCGGTGGCGGCGGCAGCGACCGCGACACGCCGAGCCCCGGCGGCGTCTCCGAGTCGGGCTCCGAAGACGGGCTGTACGAGTGCCACCACTGCGCCAAGAAGTTCCGCCGCCAGGCCTACCTGCGCAAGCACCTGCTGGCTCACCACCAGGCGCTGCAGGCCAAGGGCACTGCGCCGCCCGCGCCCCCGCCGCCGCCGGAGGACCTGCTGGCCTTGTACCCGGGGCCCAGGGAGAAGGCGCCGCCGCAGGAGGCGGCCGGCGACAGCGAGGCGGCGGCCGGCCCGCTGGGCCTGAGTGCCCCCGCCGAGTGCCACCTGTGCCCGGTGTGCGGGGAGACGTTCCCCAGCAAGGGCGCCCAGGAGCGCCACCTGCGCCTGCTGCACGCCGCCCAGGTGTTCCCCTGCAAGTACTGCCCCGCCACCTTCTACAGCTCGCCCGGCCTCACGCGGCACATCAACAAGTGCCACCCGTCCGAGAACAGACAGGTGATCCTGCTGCAGGTGCCCGTGCGGCCGGCATGCTAGAGCGCGCCCTCCCTCCCGGCCCTCCAAACTGTGCCTTCGCCGCAGACCCACGGAGAGAGCGCGCGCGCCGCGCGCCCCAAACCCGCGTCCGCGCCGGGGGGTGCCCACCCCCGGTCAAAGTGTTGTCTCCGCTTCTCTTGATGTGGCGTGACGGTCACCCCGATCCTGTCATTGTGACTCCCTTTGGAGCCCCCTTTTGCGTTGTGTCACTTTCCCCCCTTGGCGCATCAGGAGCCCATCCCTTCTGTACCCGGGAGAAGAGCCCTGCGCGTTTGTCTCGTGATTGGAAGCCTCCCTCTGAGGGGAGAGCGGTTTTCCTTGCTAGTTATTCGCTGTGTTCATGGTCTAGAAATGCGGTTTGCTCTCGCCTACCAGTTTCTGCTCTCTAATGTATGTAGCGTACGGGTTGTTTTTTGGGTGAACCTTGAGGAATCAATGCCTTTATCTTTCACAGGCTGTAAATTGAACTTCCCCACACGATTAGCTTTATTATGGCTTGTGAACTGCTGGAGTTTGGCTTTACCTTTTTGTATGTGAACAAATCAAATTGCTTAAGAGAAAAAGAAGTTTTCTTTAGTATAGCCACAAATGCCTTGAACTGTCGTCTGGGATTGGTTTTATTTTTTTTTGGGGGGGGGGGATGAGGGAAGGGACTTTTCAGAAGATGCTGTAGAAACTGCCTCAATATTTCACGTGAAGACGTTTTGGTTTGATCGCCTTTTGTTGCCCGAGGTAGGACTGTCTTGAGTTCCCTCTAAAATGTATATGTTGATTTATGAGTAATTGTTATTTATTCTTTATTTATTTATATTAATTATGAAGATTGAGATATTATTTGATTGCAGATCTTTTTTCTTTCTTGGTGTGTGCTTTTTCCTCCCCCCAGCCACTCTCGACATTTCACTGTGCATTTTACAAGAGAGCCTTTTTCTAAAGGGATCTGCTAAAAGTTTTAACTTTTATACCTATCCGAGCAAATTACAGACAACCTTCCATTTTGTTCTGCTTCGAGGGCCCCCGCCAGAGGCCCTTGTACAACCAACAGCTCTTACTTTTAAATGCAATCTCTTTTCTACATAACATTATTTTCTTAATTGTTAGCTATTTATAGACAGCTTCAATAGAACTGTTTTGACTGTATAACTATTTACTATTCAAATAAAATATTTTCAAAGTCATCGTAAGGTGGACTTATTTCTGCATCCAGCGGTTTCAACAAGGATTTAAAAACGGAGCTTCAGATGATTTTGTACCCATCTCTACATTTTTTTTATGAAGGGACAAAACCCACCACCTTCAGGGGGATGGTGGGTTTTTAGAGCTGATCTTGCCCTGCTGGATTCTGCCTTCTGGGAGTTCAAGGGTCCAGTCTCAAACCCACAACTGGAGCTGAAAGCATTAGGGGTCCTTAGGAATGTACGGGAAGGAGAAGTTAGAATGGAAGCTGTGTGAATCTTTCTCAGAGAAATCTAGAGAAGTACCCACACAAACCTATCCTTTTAACCAAAGAGGGTAGAGAAACACCTGGTTAATTTATCAGAACCTTCATTTCCTGGCCGTTTGGGGCTCAGTGTGACAATATTTCTTCAAATAAATAACATGGTTAAATTTTGACCCTTGAGTACCAACTAGATTAGAAGAAAGTAGAATGATTTTATAGTCAGATTTCCCAAGGAAGGGAATCAATTCACATTTGGGTGGGGTGGAAATTAGGCCACTGGGCTTGGGGTGAGGACTCAGAAATGATTTTCCAGTCAGGTGAGCAACCCATTTTGGGGGTGGGAGGGAATAGAACACCATCTGTTTCGGGTATTAAATTTAATCACAGGTCATTAGAATGTTTTCTGTTTCGTGTCACTCAGCTCTTTAAAGAACAAGGCTGACACTGGCCAGTTAGTGTTTTGAGTTGTTTTGCTCTGCCTTTGAAACATGGATTAGAGCGCTGTGCTCAGTGTCACCACCGTGCTGTCCCCTTCCCTCTGTGGGTTGTGCCTGCTGCTCTGCTCTTCCTGTGGCCGCCAAGCCTTCAGAGAGATTTCAGAAACCACTGGAGCTGCATTTCCCAGGGATCATCCTCCGGAGTGATGGTGGGAAGGGCAGCACATAGAGACTTGGAAGAATAAGATGACAAAGGGATCTTTTTCAGATTCTGAGCCCCCAGTTTTGGGTAAGAAAGGGTTTAGTAAAAGGCTCAGCTCCCGGGAACATTGAATATTCCGCTCTTTGTGGGGAATAGGCTCAGAATAACAACCAAGGGGGAGCCATGCAGGTAAGCCGCCTTGGGGACAAACTGTGTGTTGCCCTTTATGGCTGATGACTGCAGAGTTCACCAGCTCAGCAGAGGAAGACAGAAGCACAGTGCCCCTTGGTGTGAAGGCACAGGATGAAGCAGTGTGTACAACACCCTGAAAGCTTGGAAGCGAAGGAAAACTCCAGGTTATGGGTTGGTAGCTGCTCCCAGTGAAAAACAATAATATGAAAGTTTTTTAAAATGTTCACCCTGAATTACGCCATACACGGAAAGATACCTCATGCTGGGAGTTAGGGTATTTTTTTTTGTTCAGTTTTTTTTTTTTTTTTTTTTTTTTTTTTTTTTTTGTTTTTTGCCATGAACCGTGTTCTTTACAAACCTGAGGAGCAGAAACCTGGCTGCCAGAATGGTATCTTCTCACCTGTGTTACTAATTTATAATCAGGAATTCTAAGTTCCACCTTCATGAGGGCAAACAAAGTTTGGTTCATAAATGTGCCCCTTCAGATTTATTTATTCTAAAATAGAAGTCAAAATTTCATTGATGTGAGAAATTGAATAGTAAATGGAGTATATTGGTGTCTGCTAAATAAAAGTGTAGGAGAAATTGAAAAACTTGATCAGTTATTTTAAAGTAATGCAATATGAGTTAGAATATTCCACCGGAAGGAAATCAGATTCATATTCCCATTCATATTCTCTCTCTCTCTCTCTCTCTCTCTCTCTCTCTCTCTCTCTCTCTCTCATTCCTCTCTGGGTAACAAGGTCACAAGGGTTCCTATATTAGAACACCAAGTGGAAGTGCATTCACCTTCTTTATAAACATGGGAAGGAGCTGAGGACATCCTGTGTGTGTCTCAGGTTGCTCCTAGCTAGCGAGATTGCCCATCACTGGAAACTACACTCCCAGCCCAGTGAAGGATGCTGGGAGGGGCAGAGTGATCAGGAAAAGTCACCAGATCGAGGAGGAAGGAGCTAAAACAGGGAACAGATAAAGAAAGGGACTTCATTTTTGCCAGTAGTCTTCACACCTTTCTATTTCCATACCTGTGAGGTGGACTAAGCAAGGCTGTCCAGTACTCCCAGGCTCTGAAGGAAGCCAGCGGCTCAAACAGCTGCCAGCCATGCTGGTTTGCCCTTCCAAGTTGATGATGTCCTCTTGAGGCACGTTTCCCTGGAGGCCTGGAGAATTTGGGGCTCTTAGGGCTCTAATAGCAGAAACGTTGTAGTGAAACGTTTAACCCAAGCCAGCTTCAGCCTGCTTCTGTGCAGCCCCAGCCACCGGGAATTCCTTCTTCAGGTGGTTGGGGGCCCATCGCTAAGGTCATCTTAGACCATACAGCAGAGGCAGCTGCTCCAGGGTGACTTGTGAGCACAATAGGAGGTCAGAGGCTCAACAGCTGTCCATGAGGATGCCGTCTTGGAGCAGAGCAGAGTCCTGGAGTCTGCAGAACCCTGACCACTGGGTAACACATGTGGATGTGTTGAGGAGAGACAGACATACTCATACAAGGTTAGACCGGGCAATGCCAGTCACCAGGCAGATGTCACCCAGCGTGTCTGTGCCCAGATGCTACAGATAAGGGTGCACCGGTTCTCATGTGCCTCCATTAGCTCCGTGGCAGGATCACATGGAACAGCCTCTTCCTCCCACCAGCTCCCGGTCCATCCCCTTGGACTCACTCAATTCCACAGCCATCCACAAAGCCCTCAAGCAAAACCAAGCAGAATAATGTGCTAACAACCTTGAGAAGAAATAACACCATACCTTAAGATCTTCACCACCTTAGCATCTTCACCCACCGTCTGTCTTGCAAAAGAGAAAGGGTCTAGGTCTCTGCGTGGGCGAGTCCCTTGGCTGTATTGTCCCTTGGTTTCCCACAGGGCTGTGTGTAAACCAGAGGGAATGGGTTCTGGGACACAGTGAGATTTTGGGGGGTTCTAGAGACTGTGACATGAAAGGCAGCAAGGACCCCAAAGGGAGCAGGCATCCTCCATCCACAGAAGAAAACCCACTTTCTCAGGGGTGCTATTTTGTGGCATTAGGATTAATTATAAAAGTCCACTGGCCTGTGGCAGGCAGGCTTTGAGCAAAACTTGCTATCTTTTTAAAGCAGGGACATTTGGTCTTACAGAGAAATTTTCTGACCAAGAGTCCCTTGTGTATGTAGTCAGTTATATGTCATATATACATGTACTGTATGTTAGCTTGTTACAGGGTCAGGTTACGTTACAGGCTTTTGATGGCAAGGCCAGAGAAACCTGCAATGTTTAGTAGTTAAAGGTCCAAGCTGTGGGATTTGGAGAAGATCAAGGGGGAAACTGACTTGTAGAGAGAGGCCCACGGAATAGCAAAACACATCTGTGTCAGAGATTCTACTAAATAGCAACATACAAGGGTCTTGAATCCATTTGATTGCCAAGGTGGTACCAAAGCATGGCTGACAGTATGGCGGAGTAAAGACATTTAGGATCCTGTCCTAAATTAGGAAAGCATCTCATTAATGTTTTGGCAACAACCTGAGAGTAACAGCTGAAAATCTATTCAGTTGAGAAAGAAGCCAAATGCATCTTTAAGTTGCATCTTCAATATGTGGCCAGATTATTATGATCTCTGAACTCATAATAATCTGGTCATTCAGTGTGTGTGTGTGTGTAATATATATATTAGTCTGGGCCCAGTGCATGAATTTGTGCATGGGTGGGGTCCGGCCAGCTTGGCCAGGGGAGGGACATGGGTGGTTGGCTGG